GCTGCATCTCTCAACCATGAATTATCAAACCAAACAACCACCATGGGGCGTTCGCCTATGAAGATTGGTTGTGGCGACGTGCATGCGTACACTGTTGGCCACATGATCACTATAAGAAAAGCGCCATCGTACATCAATAACTTCTTTTGGCTGCGATGGGTGCTTGAGGATTTTAGTAAGACCAATTTCAATAGTATCTACTGATTGCGAGCACTATGACTGTTCTACTATAAAACCTGCAATTCACAGCTCACGAACGCAACCGACATTCTCTACCGCTAATACGCATTCACCACACCTGCGAACACGGATGGGCAAAACGCGCTTATGATAAAAAACCTATGAGCTGAATGAGTAACACACGCGCTTAGTGTTTTCGGAGCAGGGCGAGCGGCGTCACACGTCGCCTTCTCGCTGGAAGTGCACAGAGCTCATTGCGGAAATACCGTCGCGCACACATCCGGGGAACGTAAATACCCTACTGAAACGTTCCGTATGCGATGTCCAATAATTCCGTATGTTTCCGTAAGAATCTTACGGAAATATATGGAAAATTTATAGGAAACATATGTATTTCTTATGGAAACATATGGAATTATTGGACTCGCATACGGAACGTTTCAGTAGGGTATGAGAGCCGGATGTGCACGCGCCGTGAACAATTACATTATTTCACCCCTCAGCGAGCAATTCTCGCGTTTGTTAATACTACCACGTACTATTTTGCGCGTTGACAGGACAGCAATCACGTTCTTTCATGCAGCAAGGCTACGGCACAGCGTAATTTGATGGACGAAGGCCAAATCGCCAAGCCCTCATGTTCCGTCGTAATGTGCATAGAATGTGGCCTGTTTGTACCGAATGCGGGTAATTTGAAGAGCCCAATTGTACAATGCGCGTTTAAAAACAGAAATCCTATCACTCGGTGCTAATGGAGATCACGAAAAATAATGGCAGAAGATGGCGTTCATTACTGTGCTTACGGGAATTGTGGAAATGACTTAACTTGGAAAATGAACACTAAGGAGGTAGCTTGTACAAAAGCTGAATATTTGAGGATCGGGACTGGCAACGCAGCATTCCTCTTCGGATTTTTTCCCCTTTTGTCTTGCTGTTGAATAAGGATGTGTGCCACGACGTCCAAGCTGGCCTACATGCACACAAGGCGCCCAATTTGGGCGTAAATCGTAGAGTAGATTTAGGTTTTATCTACGCCAACTCCGCTTGTTCGTCCTTTTATTCCTCTATTTGTTCCCAAGATTAGCCGCGCACGCGAATGTTAGCCAGCGTCTGCTCAGGTTATCCAGAGGCTCCTTTTAACTGCGAACCTCATATAGATCGCGTTAACTTGTTTGTGAAGCATTTACACACCAAGTACATCACGTGAACTTGTTGTTAGGCCCGTAACAAAACAAAAAGAAAGCTCCGCAAACCCTCCCCCACGGAAATTGCATTTACCAGCCTATCTCGTGTCAATATGTCGTTTACGCGATGTCATACAATCCAAAAACACGAACCACGAATCGCAGTACCTGCACCAAAACGCGCCATACATCCCTGGCTGCTTGGTTGGTTCTTGAGCGGCTAACGCAACAAAATATTTGAATGCTGGAGGCGTTGACAAAAATAGCGCACAAGCAAGCTGAAACTTTAGAAAACTTTCAATTACGAGGAAAACGCTAAATGTTGCTGAATTCCTTGAAATGAAATAGCCTACAAGACCCGGTCTACAAGATTCAGCCTCTAATTCTTTTGGAAAGAGATGTATTGCGCTTATGCCTTGGCCTGACTCGAGTTGGTTGCTATAGCAATTTTTCGTACCAAGAATCGAAGGTTGTTTCTCTTTCCTGCAGGTTTCGCCTTTTGACTGTTAAGACATTTCTAAGAATGTACTAGTAATCATTACGATCACAAGAAAAAGTGCTTGTTTCCACTCCGAAAGAACTTTTTTTTGGGAGGGGGGGGGGGGGCTAGATGGCACAGGTTTCACACCGCAGAAATTTGCACAAAGCTCACTGGATCCTATAAACCTGTGCATATACAATATGATTCTTTTTCGTGATGATTCATAAGCGGAGGTTAATTTTAATTGTATTTTTCCTAGCTATGCAAAATTACTTTCCCATCATATTTTAGGTGGTTTATTAAAAAAAAACACCAGTACAGTAATACAACAAATGTTGTGATTGCTTTAGATGCATGAGATGGCGTCCAAAAGTAAGGTGTTAGTATCTTAAGTCCGAATTTAGGTTTGTGTTATTTCTTTCCAGTATCCGAATTCATACGCACATTTGAGGCTGAATTTCTTACAGTATAGTGCTCGTCTTAGGCCAGTTGGACACGGCAATCATAATATTGATTGACATGTGGAGTTTAACGCTCCAGGACTCCCGTATGATTATGAGAGATACCCTTGTAGGGGGTTTGAGACATTTAGATTACCTGAAGTTCTTTAACGTGCACCAAAATCTGAGCACACGGGCCCAAAATATTCTCATCCCCATTGAAATCCAGCCGCCACAGCCGGGATTCAATCCCGCGACCTGCGTTTCAGCACCCGAGTACCTTAGCCACTAGACTCCCGCGGCGAAGCATCAAATATAACAGCTGTTATAATAACAGACTGTCTCTGCGAGGCACTTTCTGCTCGTGCTGAATCCCGCGTAAAAAAGAAGTTCCGTGCACTACTATCCACGCATTTGCGAAAAGTTCGATTAGTTTAGGTGCCAGGACATAAAGGGTTGCTTCTCCATAAAATTGTTGATTATTTAGCATAGTCGTCAATACGTTCATCGATTTTACCATACTTTCAATAATCTGCTTATGAAATTTCTGCTAGATATCGCAGGCGTGCGACTATGGAAATCTTTGGAGGTACAGGACTGACAAATTCCACCGAATATCGGCGATTATTATGTCCCTGGTGGAGAGATTTTCGTCAAACCAGTAAAATAGAAGCAGCTATCATAAGGCTGGATGTCAGGCACCGAATACAAAGTTCTACAAACACAGGTCTGCTCAGGCACCTTCGCTACTGTGCGCGTTCTATGGTAAACTGCAAACTACAGATGATTTCTTTTTGACCTGCAGGGGTCCTGCTGCAGCACAAAAAATCCTGTTAAAACACCTTTACGTGGTATTGGAATGAATTTATTGATCCCTGTCATTTTACCTTTTGGAGCTTCAGTTTATAGGTTCTACATTGTGAAAATATGCGTGGCTATTGTGTATTACAATAATGAAACCAATCTAGTTGCTAAATAATCAGTGTTTTATGCTAGTATGTCTACATCATTTTATACGTAAAAAAACAAAGGTATTGTTTTGCTTTAAAACTCTTTCTTAAAAAACAGACAAAGTCTCACTTTGTTTTGCTTGTTTGGATTTTAATAGATGCTATATTAGAACGAGCAGCAAACTTTTCAACGTACTTTTGTTTTTTTTATAATAAAACCTGCATTGCTGTAAAAGAACATACTATTTAATAAACCCACTCAGCTCTTGGCCAACCCCACACAGCGTGTACGCGCCTTAGTAACTCTAAGGCCATACTTAATAGGCGAACAAGAACGAATAGCATGTGAAGCCATGGCTCGTGTTCTCTGCCTCCTTATCGACTTCGAGTCGTCCTATGAATGAATACGTAATGAAGTAGCGCGTAGAACGGCAGGTCATAATTATCAGGCAGTCGTACCTTCGTACACGGTACAAAACATTCAAGGGTCTTGTAGCGAAAAGAAAAAAATCCCAGCATATCAAAGGAGGGAATGATGATGAGCGCGAAGAGCTCCGGAGGTACATTGGTAAACTGTGAATCCCACTCGCAGCCGTTCCAGAGTTTCGAGGAGCCTGTCCGAGTGTACTTCAGCTGCAGAAAGCGCGAGGAACGCACGTGGTTTGACTAGCTGGTGAATCATAGCAAAGAGCTCCTAGCTGCGTTTTGCCAGTATTGCACTAAGTTGGATACGCCCCGCTTGAGGCCTGGTCTTGGTTGAGCCCTTCGTCCGTGAATTCTCGCCCGCCGCTCTCGAGTTGCTGACACGTGAATGAGCTGATGATGATGATGATGATGATGGATTGTGGTTCTGCCCTTTGTAAGGAGTAGGCAGCTCCTAACTGCCTTAACCAGAAAAAAAAGGAAAGAAAGAAATGAAGGAAGACTGAGAAAAGAGGAAAGACAGAGAAAAATAAAATGTGTCACACACACATACACGCACACATACACACACACACAACGAGTTATAACGTTTGCAACAGCCAGCCCGTGTCTCTTTGCAGACCGGCTACATTGTCTAAACGTTTACATTCTCTGCGCGTCGGTACTGTCTACGCGTTCTGCGCCACCACTGCACCAATCTCTGTTCTGTCACGTAGACCGCTCTGGCCACTGGTGTGCTCTTTGTCGTATCTTAGAAGTGTGGCAGCTTGGGCTAGTTGGTATGGCATGACGATAGTTATAGCGCGAGAACAAAACGACTACACAGAGACAAGAAGGACACGAAAGACACGAGCGCTCGCGTCTTTCGTGTCCTTCTTGTCTCTGTGTCGTCGTTTTGTTCTCGCGCTATAACTATCGTCTTCTTCGTATCTCCTCGGAATCCCAGTGCCAGCGGGAAGGTGGTGCCCTCTAGGTGACCCGGGCACAACTCAGCGCAGCGGAGGACGAAGTGTTCTGTGGTGTCCTCTTCAGTGCCGCATATTCGGCATATGGCCCGGGCCACGTCCGCAGATGTGTCGAACCTGCGACAGTATGCCAACGTACGCAGCGCTCCTGCACGTGCCTCAAAATAAAGTGCGCTGTCACCGCTGTTATCATAAAGGGGCTCCATGCCAATGTCGGCCTTGTGAGTGCGGTATGTGAGCAGTGTGGATGTATCCTCCATGGCACGCAGCCACTGCTCTGTCTCCTCCTCACACACCTGCGTCTTCACTGCATGCGCCCACTTGTACATCTTGTCATCAATCACAGGGTTTGCAGAGAAGCCAAACTTTCTTTTCAGGCTGCCCAGGCGCCTGCACCACTGCGTTTGTGTGCCGGTTTGACTCGCATATCTGAACAGTCGCCTGGGCTACCGTTCGTCATCCATGAGTCGCAGGCGTCATTTGTAAGTAGCCTTACTTCTTGCCTCGCACGCTTACAATGAGGACCATCCCAGGTGACCCTGAATGGCCTCTATAGCGACACGCCCGTGGTATCCAAGGGCCATATGGCCCACCTCCCGCTGGCCACGGTACCGCTATTGCCTGGTTGTCACAGTCAAAGAGAGCGCCACAGTGCCATCTAAGAGTACTCCGAATACCAGAGGTGGCTACTACGGACAACAACGGACAACACCACACCATTAAGGACCTTAAACCCCAAAATGCCTGCCCTCACCTTGAAGCCAGTGCCGGGATTACGATTGACGAGCTGGTAGGCGATATCCTCGGCCTGGCACCCTTGGGGCACTGACGCCTCCCAGTCACGGTGGCCAGAGTGCGCGTAGCTTCCCGCTGGTGTGGCGTGCGTCACCTTTGATGTGGTGACAATGCCCGTCCACATGCCGCCATCTTGTGCCCACTGCATGATGCTCGGCAGGTGCGTGCTTTCGTCACTGTGACAGACGCCGCTCTGTGAAGATCCATGCAAAAGAAACGCATTTGTCTCATTTCCGACAATGTTAGAGTGCAATATTAGTACTACTCCTACAACTACTACCACTACAAGAAATAGTAATAAGTAGTATAATAGTATATATATTATTATTATTATTATTATATTGAATATTAACATTTAAAAATTACAATGAACAGTTGGGGGTCTCTTAAGCTTCGACTATAGGAGTTCTACGCGATTCGCGTTATCATGTTCCCAGCACGTTCGCCAGACGCGTAATTTATACTTTTTGTTGCATGATGTCACTCGATAAGTTTAAATGGCGAATCGCTACAATGTTATCTGCAATGTTTAAGATGCCTTGTCAGTGAAGCTTTCGCATATGGCTGAATTCTGTGTTATATGTAGCACGCTTTTAAACTACATTTTGCCTCTCCCTGTGGCACCCTCTTGCGGACACTTCTAGACACAAATCGTGGGGCATCACGGTGAGTGAGTTTCTGCCACTGTCACAGTTCGCTTTGATCCGGGCTTGCTCTTGGTACACGCCCACAGCGCTTACAGCAGTCAACAGATTGTGAAATCAGCCATCGATTTGTTTCATCTCCCTCTGAGACTGAAGCAGCAGGTATGTTTGTCGATATTAGCGAGATATGCTGCTTGCTTATCCGCATCTGCTAAGCCTAACGCGCCGAGGCAGTGTTCGGACTGCGTCGTCATAGCAAGAACGCTGCAGCTCCAAATATGAGACATGCAACCTCGCACAGCATTCTGTGCGCGTTGGATCCTCCTTCCGTAAATATAGAAAAGAGAGAAAAGGAGTGCGGCAGCGAGACACGCGAAAGAACGCGTGGATGGAGAAACAGACATACGAGAGCCACGAACAGCGAGAGAAACAGCCACAAGTGAAGTTATCCGCCAGATTGAGATTCTACCGAGCTTCAGCAGAGCAACAAATTCACGCTTTTTTAAGTTCTTCCTTGCTTAATAACTTCACTGAATTTTTAGTTCATAAATTGGTCATAACAACTACAATTCATTGAGCAGAATTCATGAATGCGGTGAGCAGACGACTCGGTGCGAATTGGTACATGTGGAGGGGCGAAGCTCCCTTTCTGTTGGCTGAGAGGACTGTAGCCTCCACAGTGCCGAAGGGAACTTGTGAAACGGAGCATAGTTGCTGGAATCACACTAACCGAACCAGATTTATAGATAAATTCATTGGTTGTGCCACCCGCATCACTCACGCCACTTTTACCACCGATGCCACCGCAAAAATACAGGTGGCGTCTGAAACGGCGCCCCGCAGATCATTTCGCAGAGCCGCCTCCAGGCGCTGCACATGCCATGTAGAGGCTTGCGAAAGGCGGATTGTAACCCAGAAATCTATGCGAAGTTGCTATTCACGCACTACGTGGCCTTAATAGTCCACGTAGTGCGTGATAATGAGCGCAACAACTTGTGTGCCTTTTGTAATGCCTGACCGGCTTTAAACCACGTAGCCGTTATGATAGCCACATGTTCTGACGCCCGATGGCAATGTACGTTTGTACCAGGAATAATTCTGCAACATGACATGTTGTATTGTGAGGCTCATATACACGACCCATCTGTTTGTAAAGCTTCAACGTTAATTTTACTGCATTTCCAAGCAGAGAAACTATTTTCACTTCATTCACAAGCAGATGCGTTGCTCTGTGGTGAGCACCTTTTTGCCACGCATATGGTCTGTGTAGGTTGGACCGTCTCTCAGACCGAGAAATATTTACTTTGATCCGAAGCATTTCTTTGCGTACTGCAAGCACTGTTCACCTCTATCGATTGCTTGATTTGTGAGGTTTAACGTCCCAAAATCACCTTAACATTATCAAAGACGCTGTAGTGGGGGCTCCAAAAAATGAGACCACCTGGAGATCTTTTATGTGCACCCAAATCTAAGCACAAGGGCTAGCACTTTCACCTCCATCGAAAATGCTGCCGTCTCAGCCGGGATTCCTTCCCGCGGCCTGAGGGTCAACTAGCCGAGTACCTTAGCATTACCAAGTAGACCATCGCGGCGGGGCTTGGTTCCGGATAGCTAGTAACGAGGAAAACAACCAGGGGGACTTTTTGACAGGTTGTATAGACAGATGCCATTTCAAAAAGCTGCCAAGACACAGAGTCCGGGGGAGAAATCGACGTAGGCATGAGGGCCAAGCCATTTCAGACGTAGGTTATATTAACATGGATGGTGGCAGGAATAGGATGAAGTGGCGAGAGATAGAACAGCCCTTGGAGGAGAAGTGTGCGGTATATGAGTATTGTAGAAACACATCGCAGGCACATCCAACAACCACCCAGCAATCCAGGCTACGCACAGGAATATTGTAATAGAACAGAAGGAGCCGAAAGGGGGTAAAACTGGGGATTTTGCTTCATAAAAGTCCAGACTGGTGAAGGGTCAAGCAGGAGTGCAGAGAACATTTATGGCCAAAAGGGAATGTAGTAGGGAAGACGACTCGGCAGGGTTTCGTATACATGTGGACAGAGACAAATCCCAGAGAGGAAAACCAAGAAATTGACCAGTGCATATAAAACGGCCTTGATAAACTAGGAGAAGTTTCTGAGATAAATATATTAGACATAAGCATATAGGCTGAGAGGATAAGGCATCGAAAGCCCCCTCGTTGACAAAAGTTTAGGGGGGGGGGTGCTGAGCCTCTCACCCCCTTTCGAAAGTATCTGCAGACCGCAAAAACCAACTAGTAATGCGAAATTTTCCGTCACACCAGTAATCACTCAATTATGTTCTCTCAGGAGAATGAAAATGTTACGAGGCTACGTTACAAAATTGTGAAAATTTTCCTAACATTTCCTCTGTGACGATTTTCCTGGTAGGCTCTTTGCTGTGCAGCTCGCCTATGCGATGCTTTCGCATCCTATGCTACAGTATTGCAGAGCAGGCAAGCGCTAATCTATCTATCTATCTATCTATCTATCTATCTATCTATCTATCTATCTATCTATCTATCTATCTATCTATCTATCCGCCTGTGTCTATGTGCTCTCATAGCCACTTCTTGGGGTACACCTAGTAGTACGTGAGATTAAAATGGTTCGACGAGTACGCCTCACTGCTCATGGTATGAATAGTGTCACAAGCTCGTCGCGAACGTCGTCACTCTCTAATAAAAAGTGGCACATGGGGGTAGGTATGTGCCATTAGTATGCGGGTATGTGCGACAGGTGGCATTTTTTACCTACCCAGGAACGGCGAGAACACACATGTGTAAATTTAACCCCTCAGCGTTCAGAAAAAGCTACCATAGGCAGCGTTCACCACACGAATGCAAACAATAAATGTCGGTATCCCAGCAGGAATCGAATCGTAGCTTTATGCGAGGCAATCAAGTATTCTACCACAGTTCCATGCCAGTCAAGTCTCGGTTGTACTTTGTAAATGGGCCCTAATGTTCGTGTAACACATAAATTATGGTTGTAATAATGAATATACGATTTTCAAAACATTATATTGTACTCCTAAGATACAGCCGCCATGTCGGGTTAACGTAACTTGCAGTAAGCACGATTCACTTTAGTTAATTTCTGTAGCAGCGTTGAGGGCTGGCATCCTCTCACGCACCATGCTCAAACATCGGTGCTTCGTATCAGCTCACCGCTTCCAGTGTTGCTATTATTCATGTTACTGTTGGCATCATTACGCAACTGTTAACAACTGCCAATATAAAACCTATGCGGCAGTTTAAGTATGTGTGTGGCTAGATTTCTACATATATTTACCGCCAATTGATGAAGTCTTACTCAACAAAAAAAAAAGTACTCACATATTCAACAGCCATCCGCATGCTTCGCATACCATCGATTCCCAAGGTACCTGGGCTCCGCCGAAGTTATTTGCATCTTTCTAAATTTTTCAGTCTAGTAGAAGAAGATGACTCTTGGCTCACAGCCAACGAAGCCTACGGCGACGCGGGAATTTATGCAAAACGAGCATATTGACGTATAACGTTAAAAATAATAAGAGGAGGGGAGGAAATAGCCACGCACCCATTTCATAAACATTTGCAAGCGGTATGCCTCTGTGCAGCTGAGCGTTTGCAATATTATCTTTGTGGACACTGCCACCAATGGCGCACCAAGTACCAACTTTTTTGCGAGTGGGCGGAGATTGCGTACCTCATTCTGCGTCCCCAGAATGTGTGTGTATATATATATATATATATATATATATATATATATATATATATATATATATATATATATATATATATATATATATATATATATATATATATATATATATATATATATATATATATCACTCATCCGCTGATGAAGGGAGCCCGAAACTGTTGGGCAATAAATATATTTATCCTTGTTGACAACGCTCCCATTGTGCCATATCCCATACCTTCACGAAGACTAACTGGCCCATATATATATATATATATATATATATATATATATATATTGCAAGAGAGTTTTTAATAGCGACGCCAGGTAGTAGGCAGGCAGCCGGTACGGACAGAAATGCTCGAGTAGTCCAGCATCTACAGCTCGTGAACACACTCGCGCTTCGCACTCTGAGAGAGATGGTCCCACTAGTCTGTGCCTTGCGAATTCCCCACTACAATACCCCGGCGACGAAGACAAGCCATCCTGGCGACTCAAGGTGACGAGAGAACAGGAGGGTCGTAGCAGGGCTTGAGGCGACTGACGTGGACCGTCTCACGACCAAGGCGGCGCTTGTCCGTGGACGGCTTGAGCGGTTCAATCACATAAGTAACAGAAGAAGGGTGCTGTATGACGCGGTAAGGGCCAGTATACTTCAGTGCAAACTTGGGAGTCAGTCCAGGAGAGTGGAAAGGCAGTTGGAGCCACACGAGAGAACCGACGGGGAAAGTGTCCTGAACAAGATCATGGTCGTGGCGATCTTTTTGGAGGGCTTGATTATCGGCTGTGAAGGACCGTGCAAGCTGACGACCCTCTTTGGCATGTTCGGCCATTTCAGAAAC